CTAAGAGGCTCAAAGAAGTGGATAAACCAGAAGGTTGGTTGAAAACAAAAGCTTCTTTTTTGATCTATTAATTACTCCAAAAGGATTAAATATTCTTCTGCCTTACCTATTTTCTTGATCCTGTAACTAACATATACTGGAAAAAGTAAAGAGACCTCAAAAGAGTTCATCTTTATTAAATATTGTAGTCAATCGTAAGCAATGATGACATTAACAAAAGAACAATCATGGTCATAATATGAACCACACAAACCATTCTCTCTACCATATGTATTTAACACTGCTAGTCCTCTGTTCACATGCTCAGACCTGAATAAATTAGAAGGTGTTTATCCTTTAGGTGTTAACCTAAATGTCACTTCCCCTGGAAGGATTTCCCGGCTTTCCCTTCTTTTACACACTGAAGTAGATATTTCCCACCATGGGCTCACATGCAGTGGATGTGAGCACTCACAGAGCACCCTAGACATCCCGGCTACAAGAGTCATCGCATCTCATTGTCATTGCTTGCTTCATTAACTGTTTTTCCACTAGAGCATGAGCTCTATGAGGATAGCCACCATACAAATCTTATTCACCATTTTATCCTCTGGAAAAAACTAAGAATGTTATAAACAGTTGATAAGTGAAGGAAAGAAAGGAAGAAAGAAGGAAGGAAGGAGTTTTTCAAATAGGGAAGCCAATGGTTCGGTTTATTTAGTATTCAAAATGCAATCATATGGACAGTACTTTTGGAACTACTTCCCTTATGACTGGGATTTCCCCAACTCCTTCTTGTGCTTATTGAATTGCTGAAAATAATATCAAAAAGTGTTATTTCCTCCTCTGATTCCTCTAGGAGATGCAGACACAAATCATAGAGTCCAAGTGACTTAAGCCAAAGTGGTTCTTCTTGGTTCTTATGTCATTGTTTTGGAGTCAGCCCAGGTATACACACTATACCATCTGCACTGTATCCTAAACATCTCTTACTTTCCCATCTGACTCTTGCTCACATTGTTAGATTCTCAACTCTTTCCCCTGACTTGTCTCCCAAAGTACAGATGATTATCCTTATTCTAAAGGAAGGGAGAGAATGTGTAGATCATCCAAAGGAGTGGCTTGTCCAAACACTGTCTTTTTTTGGCTTTCAAATACATAATGTAGAATTTCATATACCAGAATTTGCCCACCGCTCAGAAAATTCAGAATTCTTCTGTAAGTGGCAGTCCAAATTTGAAAACCACAGCTGTTTTTAGCAATTGAGTCACTGCCTTTCAGATGCCAAAAATATCACCTACCATATTCCCCAGGGTTCAAAGAAAGAGGAAAGAGAAAAAAGCAAAGAACAAGTTGGGGATAAAGGTAGCAGGAAGCTTCTCCAGTCATACAAATTATTATTAAAAATAACTATAATAGTGCTTGCTTTGGCAGCACATACACTAAAATTGGAATGATACAAAGAAGATTAGCATGGCCCCTGCAAAAGGATGACACACAAATTTGTGAAGTGTTCCATATTTTTACTGGAATAAAAATTAAAAAAAAAGAAGAGAAAGAAATAAAAAAAAACTATAGTAACTGAAATAACAATAATATTAGCAATAAGAACTAGCATTCAATAGCAATTAACAAAATAGGGCCTCATGTGACTTTCCTAATCTCCCTAAAAGGGAGAGATGATAGTATTCTTAGCACCCTCATTTTATAGATGAAGAAACAAATTAGAAAGGTTAAGTGAATAACCCAAGGTTACACAGCTAAGCCTGAGCTCCAACCCAAGCCATCCAACTTCAGATCCTGTATTCATTCTATCTCTTATTCAAACACAGTCTCACCACTGATTTATCTAACCACTCCTTCATGGATTGATTTTGGTAAGAAATCTGCCCTTTTCTATCACTGTAGGCCTAAGGGGAATCATTAGAATTTCTGTGAGCTTCTCAAAATAGAGTAGAAACAAAGATTCTACTTTTAGCTTTTGGAAGAGGGTTCTAGGTATATACATATTAAAATCTTACTTGGCCCATCTCTAAACTGGTTTTGGAAGCTCCAGGAAAGAAGCTTGGCCAGTCTGTCCCAGTATGCACCTTGGACTCTGATTTCCAGACCCCCCCCCCCCCACCCACACAGGACCTCAGGAACAGCCAAAGCAACTTTTTAACTGGCAAAACATGGTGACCCTTCTCTGGTCTCCCAGTCCCCATCTCCCCAGAGCAGACCAGTACCTAGCACATCCTGGGTTGTGGCGAGAGAGATTCTCATCCTAGAGGCCTTAGCAACTGTGTCCAGGCTGTGCAGCCAATGGAAAGCCTACCCCATAAATCAAATCTTGGGGAATCTGTGATCCAACAACACCTCCAGCGAATACCCATTTAAGGCAAAATCTGGCAAGAACTTTGTAAAAGAGAGTTGGGAAAAGACAACTAGACAGGGAAGTGAAGGGCTACTAAATGATACAGGGAGGATGAAACTGTGGCAGACAGTATTTTCCAAAGATGACTGCAAAAATCATCTGGCCCTAAAGCTCTTCCAGAATCTTGCGACTCTCCCATCAAAAGGAGTTTATTTCCTCTCTCCTTGAATCTCCACTGGTCTTGCTGACTGTCTCAGTGAATAGCGTATGGTTGAAGTGAAGCCCTACGACTTTGAGGGTAGGTTAGAAAAGGTGGTACGGCTTCCACCTGACTCTCGCTCTTGGGCATCTGACTTTTGAACCTTGATAGGAAACCCAGGCTACATAGAAAGTTCATACGTAGCTATTCCAGTTATCAGCCCAACAAAGGTGCTAGCTGACAGCTGGCCTCAACTGCCAGACCTGTGAGTGAACAAGTCTTGTGACTTTGTGGACAAAGGAGAAGATGAGCTTAGCCACTTATTTCAGTCTCTGAACATTCTACGGTGGTTTAGAAGTATCCAGAGGTGGAGGGAGACAGGTAGTGCAGAGAAAGGGAAGAATCTAACTCCCAACACCTTTGTCTTAGTTCTGACCTAGAGTTACGTGTTCTACTTAAATAATTACATGTTAGAACCTGCAGTCTCAGTGCCATGTGTTCTACTTAAATAATTACAGTTAGAACCTGCAGTCTCAGTGCCATGATACCACTGAATCATTTTATTTCCAATGACAGCCTTTTGATCAGGTCATTAGATTTGATATCAGAAAAGCCAAAAACATAGGGATTGTCTATCTTGTACACTGTTGTAATACAAACATTTAGCATAGTGCCTGGAACCTAGTATGCACTCAATAAACATCTGTTGGATGGAAGAATAAACAAATGAAAGAAATTTCCCCCCTCCTTTTAGAGAATGATACCTAATATCAGATTAGCATAAAGTGCTTAGAAATTTGCAGTGTTCAATAGATTGATATTCAACTGCCTTCAGTAACGTTTTTTAACCTGCTTAAATCAACTGTTAAATTTTAAAACTGTGAGTTCCTTGAGGGCAGAGACCATGTCTTATTCCATTTTGTATCCCCAGCACCTGGCACTTTGCTTCGTACTTGCTAAGTGCTCAATAAATATTAAATATTTAAATACTAAAAACTAAATGAATGTCAAACAGAGACTGGCAGAGATATTTCAAATTATTTAGTTCGCCTAGGCTTTGCCTGGTAGGAGGCAGTGACAGATAACAGATAAGGATGCTGGCCAATGCACCTGATCTCCAGAGGGATCAGACTGGGATGCAGGAGTCCAGAAGTCCTGAGGCTTCCCAGCTGCTAAAACCTTTCAAGAATATGGGAACTCAAAAAGCTTTTGTAATCTGAGCAGGACATTGGTTTGAATACCAAAAAGGGTACTACTTTACCAATCAAGAGTGGTTTTTTATGATTATACTCCAAATATGATTTTCTTTCACAGCTAATTTTATACATGATCCATTTATTCATTTGTCCAATCATTTATTCATTCATCCCATATTAGTGGGGGTCTACCCATTGCTATTTTTCTGCAAAGATTTGTTTAATCTGCTCAAGAGATAGGTGAGTGTTCAAAAGGACCCCATTTCCTGGAAAATTGACCTGGCTAGGCAACAAAAGATGTGATCTCACTTTGTAGAGGCAGATGGAAATTATAGATATAAGATCACAATTCAGAATGAACTAATCCAGTGTATTTCAAAATGACTATTGAAAATAGAGATGTCTAGGGGCGCCTGGGTGGCTCAGTCATCAAGCGTCTGCCTTCGGCTCAGGTCATGATCCCAGGGTCCTGGGATGGAGCCCCGCATCGGGCTCTCTGCTCAGCAGGAAGCCTGCTTCTCTCTCTCCCACTTCCCCTGCTTGCGTTCCCTCTCTCTCTTTCTTTCTGTCAACTAACTAAATAAGTAAATAATAAATCTTTAAAAAAAAAAGGAAGAAAGAAAATAGAGATGTCTGGTATCTACCACTCCAGACACACTAAATCAGAACATCAGGAGTGAGACTGCAAACTTTATGAGCAATTTGTGATTTAGATTGCACTCAAGTTTGAGAACTGTTGACCAAAGCTATCTTGCTAATGGGACCTACATGCAACTGCTTAATATAATATAGTTTCCCCCACATCTCTACAAAAGTAAGATGTTACTTGACTGATTCTAAGACACCTAGGAATAGTGTTAATATGGCTCAGATATTTAACACTATTTAGAATAGTATAAACATGGCCGATGCCCCAGACCAGAATTTCCCTGAATAATCATTCTCTCCCTAAACTAGCCTTAAATAAACCCTTGCAAAAAGAAAATAACAAAGTAAATCTATCCTTCCCTTAAGAAACTCACAATTTAGAAGCAAACTCTTACAAAATAGTCATTATTAAAATAGAAAAGTTTTTAAACCCAGAAATGGCACGTTAAAACCGTTCTCAATTTGAAAAACAATAAACAACAATCATCAGCTGTGAAACAGAGCTCTAGACTATACTATTTTTCTACCCTGGTTCCCACAGTGCTGACGTCCAGCTGGGACCCTGAGACCTTTCCCTTGCCTTACCCCCAAACTCACTCCTTCCCAGGAGACTTTTACTCACTTTCTGAATTTTCCTAATCTGGTCAGAGAGTGTGTCTAACAGGCGAGTTTTCAGGAAGTCCATCACCTTGACCACCCGGCCATCAATGTAGCAACTGTAATAAAAATAAAATAAGAATCAGGTAAAATCTTGAGCAGGAGACTACAAATACACTTCTCTAGCCAGAGGTCTCTGTTGCTTGAGGAAACAGCCCAGAGTTCACTGGGCTTTTACATCTTAAAAAGTTTTGACCCTGGATGCTTTTCAAACAAGTAATATGCTTTTTAACTTCTTCATTTCTACCTCCATTTGTGGCCTATATTGTGATTTTTTTTCAACCTTTGTCACATGAAACTGCATTGCTTGCTCTATAGGAGCTGACAGGAATCTGTAATACAAATTAAGTAATGGGAAAAAGCTTACTTTTCTTTTCCCCCAGGAAGAGCAATTTAACACCCATCCCATACCAACCCTGCCCCACCTTAAAAGTAATAAAGGTATGTGAGAGGTTTAGAAAGACTATTCAAACATTTTTATAGGTGTCCACACCTTTCAATAAGGAAACAAATCCCAGCCACAAAAATCTGATTTAGTGTAGTGAGTGGGTCTCAAAGGTTTCATCTCCAACTCACCTTGTAGTCAACCTTCTCTGACCACCTCCAGAATAAATGAATGGATGAATGAATGAACAAACAAATAAATAAATCAGATAGATTAAGTCTAGGAGCACTCTCCTAAAATAATAACAAATTTAGCATTCACTGGGTGTGGTGGTGTGGGTTTTGTTAGGTGGTTTAAGTGTAACATCAAGTCGTGCTGATACAATGTTGTGAACATTTGACCAAAACAGGTCCGTCCAGCTTTGTGGGGCCCTTCTTTGTGAATCCTTACTCTGAAGACTAAGCTGAGACTAGTCCAGGTTTAGGGGACTTTTATTATCTCAAACCTCCCACCCCCATCTTTACAAAATTCTGAATTGAATCAATTGAATTAAAATAAATGCCTATGACTCCTGGATGCCTTTTCCAACCCACTCAGGTCTCCCCAGCTGATGGCTAATGATAGATTATTTTCATTTTCAATAAGACAACAACCTATCAGTACGTGTTATAGAACTGTGTGAAAATTCTTCTTAATATTAAATCCCCATACTAATACATGATGTAGTAGAATGGTTAAAATTTTTTTTTAAGATTTTATTTATTTATTTATTTAGTTGAGAGAGAAAGAAAACACCAGCATGAGGGGCAGAGGGAGAGGGAGAGAATCTCAAGCAGACTCTGTGCTGAGTGTGGAGCCCGACGTGGGTCTTGATCTTACAACCCTGAGATCATGACCTGAGCTGAAATCGAGTCAGATGTCCAACTGACTGAGCCACCCAGGAGCCCCTAAAAAGGTTTTTTTTTTTTTAAAGTTTTTTTTTTAATTGCTGTAGCTGAAGTGCGTGAGTTCCACCCAATCAGCCTCCCCTTGGCCTCCTTCACCACCTCAGACATTTCCAAAGAATCCAATGTTTAAGTCATTGATGTGTTGGAAACAACATAGGTTTTGGACCCACAGATATCTGAGTTCAAATTCCAGATCAGTTATTTACTACCTATATGACCTTGGACAAGATACTTGGCCTCTGTGCGCCTCAGTTGTCTTATTCTTTTTTCTTTTTTTCTTTTGAGAGAGAGAGAGAAAGTACAGGTGGGCAGGGTGAGGAGGTGCAGAGAGAGAATCTCAAGCAGGCTCCACGGCCAGCGCAGAGCCAACTTGGGGTATGATCTCACAACCCTGAGATTATGACCTGAGCTGAGATCAAGAGTCGGCCACTTAACCAGCTGAGCCATGGAGGTCCTTTTCTTATTCTTTTGTTGTTGTTGTTGTTTAAGATTTATTTATTTATTTATTTATTTATTTATTTGAGAGAAAGAGACAGAGAGGTGGAGGGAGGGGCAGAAGGAGAGAGAGAGAGAATCTCCAGCAGACTTTGTGTTGAGCATAGAGCCCGATGCAGGACTTGATCTCACAACCTTGAGATCATGACCTGAGCAGAAATCAGGAGTTGGACACTCAACTGACTGAGCCACCTAGGTGCCCCAGTTTTCTTATTCTTAAAAGAGGTGATATATCTACTTCTCAGGATTAACTGACGATTAAGCAGGTAAACCTAAAGTGTTAGGCACATAGTAGGCATTCAACAGCTCTGTTCTCTTCTAATTTCATTTTCAGCTCACAAAGACAGGGTCATAAACAACAGGTTACTGATTGATTAAATTATGTGTGAGTATAGAATCCTTAAAAGTGGAACTAGTATATCAAAGGATACATAATTTTGAAAATTTTGGTGGTTACTTATATTAGGGAACAAAACAAAATAATGACATGACCTTTTACTTCATTACTGATACAGATGCTAGACTCAGATCCAATAAACATTTATTATGTGCAACACACAGTGCTGAGCATGTCCATTCCTTACCACCCCAACCTCTTCCTATTAGTACCTCACTATTGGCATTTCTGATTTTTTTAAAAAAATTTTGATTAGATAGCTTGCTACATGGAATCTAGGTATATCAAAACATAGTAATGTTAAAATTAATAATTCATGCAATGCTAATCTCATACACACTGAAGGACATGAATACTTGTTACTATGTTACATGATTACTAGGCACATGATACAAATGCACCATAATTAGTGTTCTTTTATGTTTTAATCAAATATATTATAGGTCCCTTTTTTCTTTTTGTTAGCTCTCAGTAGCTATTTTAAACATCAGAATTTATGAATTTTGCTGGCAACACATATAGTTTAATACTTACTGAGATAAAAATGCCTGATGTACTTTTTCAATGTAGGATTCCCTGTGAATAACCCCCTATCTCACACACTCCTTAGTTGAGGGTCCTTTTATTACTCCACTCTTTCCTTTTGTTTCTTTTCTCAAGTACTCAGACCTTGGAGTTAGAAAACCCTGGTTCAGTTTCAGCTTTGTCACCTACCACCTATAAGATATTAGGTTTCCCCTTCTTTGAAGTTGGCTAAAAAAAAAAAAACCTCAAACCCACAGGATTCAAGGTACACTGTATAGTCAAATTAGGAAAAATTCTGGGCATATACCCTGGCATGTAAGAGGTATTTAATAAGCAAATTTACCTTCCAGGTTACTTAAAGGGCCCAAGGTGACAGCAACCTAGACTGAAAAGCCATGGGATGAGGTGAGCAGGGGAACATCTGTCTGAAGGAGAGCATGTTCATTCACTGTAGATTTGGAATGAGGGAAGACAGCAAGAATAGACTCTGGATTCCCAGTAAGTGGGAGGCAGAGGGAGAGATGGAGAAAGCTGTGTTTCTATTGCAAAAATTTGGGATTTGAAAAGACCTTAATGGCCATGTGGTCTAAAGCATGTAAGCTTGCTACAAATGACTGAGAAGTGATTATCTAGGACAGAGAACCCATTCTCATATAGTGCTTGTACTGTTCCACTGTACTATAGCTTGAATCCATGGAAGGCTCTTCTAACGAGTCTAAAATTTGCTCCCTCTTATTTTTCACTCAATGGCTGTTTTCTTGGACCAAGAAATAGTCCAACTCCTCCTTCATGTGACACGTGGGGGAGGAATTCCAATAAAAACTTTGGCTTAAGCTTTTTAGAGCCCATTTTTGGCACCATTTTTAACCTAAAAGCCTGGATTCAATCATTCTTAGTTGGTCTCAGGCTATTTCTGTGTACTATGAATTAGATTGGAGCAGGGGAGAGCTCCGGGCAGGAAACCAGTGTGACAAGGTTATCTTATCTCAATAGAGCAGACAAGAAGGGACCTGGGTCATGAAAAGAAGTAAAAGTGAGAGCCTGTGAAGGAAGAACTAATAAAATAAGGCTTCTATAGAGTATAAGAGAAAGAGGAAGGGAATCTCTGATGACCAGGAGCTTGTGAGAGAGGATATCTTGGAGAACACTGATGCCCAGAACATGTAGGCTAGTCAGACTAGGCTTTAGATTTGTTAAAGGAAATGAATGATTCTATTTGAGATATCAAGGACACAGAGAACATCAAGGAGGAAATATACAACAGGTAGTTGGAGATATGAGAAAGAGGTACAGATAAAATTTGAGACAGGAAAAGAGCTGGGTCTTCAGCTTATAAGTAATGAATGAAGCCATGGCTTTAGATGACCTCTCCGAGAAGATAAGAACTTAACAGAGATGTCAGAGACCTTCTAAAATACTGGTTAAATATGGCCCTGGACATTGCCTCTACATTTGACCCAGCTAAGAGTCCTTTCTTTCCTCACTCTTTTTAATAACCTCAGTCTGTGTCAAATTTACATTTGGATGTCAAAGGAATCCCCATATCGTACTAGAAGCTTCAGCAACTTCATCTGCTACCTTGAATCCACATATATATTATACTATGGAAATATGAACTTTGGTGCGCCACTTTTAAGAGAGGGGTCAATTTAACCATAGATGTGAGTCTGATAATACCTAAGCCTTTTTCTTGGGTACCCTTGGATACTTAACTTGCTACATTTCCCTTCATAAATGTGACACTTTGAAGAAAACATTCAGCGTTGATAATCTGTCGTTATTTGAAAAATTCCTGCCTGTTACAGAGCTTTGGTTCTCTGATAGTGACTGCCTGTCGTAAGAGGCCCACTATATCATTTAGCTTTGGACACGAAGGAGGTGGAATAGCCTGCCATAACCATTTGGAAAAAATAAATCATTAAAAATGATGAAGATGGTGATTTCTAACCAAGACTGGGTAAAAGGAAACAGGACTGGATTCCAGCTGACTGTCCAGTGACCTCAGGGCAACTCTCTTTTGTCTTTCTCATTGGGAAGATAAAGATGATTCTTAGACATTAAGCAATCTCTCTAAAGAGTTAATTACTTTAGTAATGGCTACAAAGTGTCAGAAGACCAAATAAATGAGAGAAGAAGGTAAGAATTGAGAGGGAAAAAAAAAGAAAGAAGAGAGAGAGAAGGCAAATTCATCAATTAGAGGTGCTTTGGCATCTTCCACATAAACCTTGGCAGAATAGTTGGTTCTCCAAACACTTAGACTGACACTTTTAGGTAAATCATAATCCTCCTCCAAGCTCTCTTGAAATTTCA